TAGGCCTCAAAATGGAAAAAGGAATTTTATATTCTTGTTAACAGCTGACATTTTCCCTCTGGTTCAGTTCCATGATAACCGTTATGAATGCGTCAATGAAATCTCATACAGGTTATGCGCACAGTCTGCTTTAATTGCTTTGTTTCGGAGTAGGGCAGAATTCTTCAAAATCTTAATTGGGGTTTAGAAAGAAATAAGCAGGTAAGTTTCCAAGTACAAAAACGCTATTTTGATTTCATTTATCTGTCTTGAAGTTTGCTCCTCCAAACTGGTTCTTGATGAAGAACTAAATTATTTAAAAGCACCCACTACTGACAGGGGTTTTACACCCAACATTATTAATCAAGCAGTTAAAAAATTCTCATCTCTGCACAGCAAAAGGCACACTCTCGTTTAAACAGATTATAAGAATTCTGTAGCTATTCCTGCCTTTCCGTCGATTAGCAATAAAATTGTATGTATTTTACAGAAATTTAATTTTCGGGTCTTTTTTTTTTTTTTTTTTCCTCCTATCAATAAAATTCGGAGTTCTATACTGAAGGACCCCACTTCGGATATGAATTCCTGGGGTATCTACAGGATTCCTTACCAATGCGGTTTAATTTACATTAGTCAAATTAAAAGAATCCCAAAATTTCTCGTTAAAGAACATGAGACGTATGTTAGGAAAAAGGAAACACAGAAATTCTCTAGTAAGTCTAGTAGTAGAAATTCTCTCTCTGTTGGCCCAAAAATCACTTTTTTCTGAGTCAAAATTGTTCAAAAAATAAGCAAAATTATTAAAAAAATATCTTCCATTGGTGAATTAGATTTTCTAGAGGAATTTCACATTCAAAAAATCTTTCTGTTCTAGTTAACGACCCTAATTCCAATCCATTTTTGCCTTTAGCCATAAATTGTTTTAATTTTCTTATTTCATCAGTAGATGGCGCCAGTAGCTTAACTTCTATCTACTTTTCACCAGTAGTTACATCATCGAAACTAGTCCTGCAAAATTTTCAAATATTTTTATACATATTTCGAATATTATTCAAATATTATAAATATATTTCAAATATATTCTTTTTGTTTGAGTTCTCCAATAATGCATCTGTGTTTAGGAGCTAGAAACTCTTCTTCCTTGCGATAATAAAATGCTTAAAAAGACGATATCAAGGCATTTCAACAAGGGAGAGAGACGCTAATTTAATTATGAAACTGAATACAATTATGACAATGAAAGCGAAATAAAGCAGCTTGAGACATCTTTCAGATACTGCGTTGGTGAATTTAATATTATATAAATATTTAAGAGTGTTGCAGATAAGAAAGCTCATTTTCGGCATTAAAAATTACGAAAGATGAAGTGCGAAATTGCAAAGGCAACCACATTTAAATGATCACATTTTGATAACTATTGAAATGCAATTTTGGCAGAGATTTTGTTTTGCACATATAATTCACAGTTTAGCATTTTCTAGAAGTTTGTATTCCTTTACAAAGTTTAGTTTAATGAAAAAATAATACTAACTTGAGCAAGACTAACATCAGATTTAATTAACAGTGAACTGAATGTTTAGTTTAATAAAAAAATAATAGAAGGTAATTATTCTCTTCAGCGCTTAATTCAATAAGAAGGCAGTTTCTTAAAAGTTAGCTTTTGAGAAACTTCCCAGTATTTATTTATAAGACTATTAATATCATTTCTTTTACTATAGACACTATCGCTGAATCTAGAATTTAAAGCCACCGAGTGACCACATAGATTTTGATTTGCCAGCTCGCAAAGGACATTTTTTGAACTGATTTTGATAGTTTATGCCTTTCAACATTTCAGATAATCCATATAAAGCTTTTTGAAAGCAATAACATAAAAAAAAAAAAAAAAAAAAAAAAAAAAAATTTAAAAATAACAAAATAAATAAATAAAATCGGAAAGCTTTCTAATTTCACATTACGTCCAAAAGAAATTTTTTTAACTTTCGTGTGTGTTACTTTTATTTATTAAATATCATATTCTTCGCACTCAAAACACATAAAATTCAATTCAACAGCAATATCACAATATCACAAAATATTTAAAAAAAGCATTTCGTTAGAATTTTCCGCAGACAGTCTCGCGCGCTAAAGCTAAAAATGTTTTTTATTCGTACAGTGTTGCTATTGCTCGTTTTGAAATCGTTGAGTCTGTTAATAAAAAAATAATTAAAGTTTTACGAAATATGAAATAGATAATAAAACAAATTCAAATCTCCGGCTTCCAGGTGCCCATATTCGGAGAGAGGATTACGTTTCTCAAAATTTGATGGCTCTAGGTACCGTCGTTTTTTCACAATGCGAGAAACATAGGAATCTGGTTGTAACGGTTCCTATCTGGTTGTAATCTGGTTGTAAGTTTTCCGCCAAAAAACGTTCTTAATAAAGTTAAAGAAAAATGAAAGTAGTACCTTTAGTGCGGGTAGTAATCATCACCCAAATATATGATTTTCTGCCAAAGGTTTTTTAGTTTTTCAAAGCCTTCGGCCTAGAAACTTAGTACCCAAAAAGGCCCTTAGTCCCTAAACGGTATTTTGCGTCGGATCACTATAAATATCTGTTTCACTTTTCAAATTGTTGACATCAAATATTATCTCCCTGTATTATGTTTACAGAAATTGAATAATGAAGAATCTGCATGAATATATGTATATTTCTTGCAGTGTGAATAACGTAGTCCTGCACCCTAATATGGGCAACTGGAAGCACGAATTTTGAATTTCAAATTTTTTTTATTATCTGTTTCATATTTTGTAAAATTTTAGCGAATATTTGATTAAAAGAGTCAACAATTTCAAAACGAGCAATGCGAACACTCCAAGGAATAAAGCATTTTTATCTCCAGCGCGCGAGGGTGTCTATCGGAAATTCTAATGATATGCTGTTTTTAAATATTTTTAGCCAATGTGGTCAACTGCTGTTCAATCGTGTATGTGTCTGTGACTGAAAAGAACGCCCTTTCGGGCATAGTATAAAATCTGAAACCTTTCTGAATTTTTTAAAATTGTATTTTATTATTCCTTACACATTTTTTAAAACTTTCATGGAAATTTGGTTTACAAATTTAAATTTAATGATTTTAAAGCGAGCAGTGGCAACACTGCTCGAAATAAAACATGTTTATCTTCAGCGCGCGAGACTGCTGTTCCAAAGCATGTAAGATCTTTCAGTTTTAACTAACAAACTCTGCTCTATGAAAGCAATGTGTTTCCGCTGCCTGAAATAAGTACTTTTATCTTCCACGTGCCACCATGTTCCCATTTAGTAACGATAACTTAAGATACTTTCAAATTAAATCTAGAAGCTTGCTGACTAAAAAACTAAGTGATTTAAGAACAATAAACACAGTTCTTAAGAATATTTTTTCATTTTTTAATGCGATTGATTTAAAAAAAAACAGTATTAAAATCATTAGATGTTTAATTAGAAACATTCAATATTTTTTTGAACTTCCACTATCTTGACTCATTAAAATCATTATGCAATTTTTATTTTTTATAATATGATAATTATTTTAGGTGGCGCTCTGAACAAGCTACTCGTTTTTTTTAAAAAAAATTATATACCGAAATACCGAATATAAAAATACCTATGCCAACCTCTAACATTCTTTCGGGATTTCTGCAAATATGTTGTTGTTGAATTGAATTTTACGTGGCGTAAATGTGAAGAAAGTGATATTTAATAAATAAAATTAATCCATATAATGTCAAAAATTATTTTGTTAGCCATTTTATTTTGAAAATGGAACGCTGATATTATGAGCTGAGAAAACATTTAACACTGCGTCCAGAAAGCTGAACATATGCTGCTATGCAGCTTTAAGAACTTTTCTGTTTTTCTTGCTGAACTGAAGACGTGAGTGAGCAGAAAACAATGCTTAATAATAAGCTAAAAATACACATGCACACAAAGAAAAAAAATATAATGGGTTAGCAGGAGTGAGTGCAAAAGCAGGCAGGTAGACTACGAACTCAACGACAGCATAAACCTCGTAATGTTCCAACCTATAATTTACAGCTAAATGTGTGGAATCTTGAGAATTGGTAAGCGAATAATCGCTTTAGTTCAGAAAGATAGAAACGTAAACTCAAGGGTTAATTGCCCTGTATTGCAGTCGGCCCTGTATTGCCCTAAGTTCACAGTCGGTCCTCTCTCAGGACGTACAGAAGAGCCTCTACTTGGGTTTGAACTGAAGAATGCTAAGAAACTAAACTTAACTAAAGAGATATAGCCGAAGCAATCACAATTTTACAGGAGTTGGCCCTTAAACGCTAACTAAACAGCGAAGCTATCAAGGGCCTGAAATACGGTCGAGCATAGTAATAGCTTTACAGAGAGTGTATCCAAAAGGCGAACGCGCGCTGGTCAGAATCTCTGGCTCTCTATCGAAGTCAGTAGAACTTTCGCTTTAAATATTTTCTCTTCCTTCATTTGCATTTAACCGATATTCTGAAAATACGTTCTGGAAGGAAATTGTAAGCTGAAATTAAGAAGGGTAGGAAAGTGGTTTTAAATCAAAATTAACAGTGAAAAACTTAACAAACACTTTTGGGGAAGCGCTAAAATTTCAAAATTTTTTCCCTTTCCCCGTCCTTGGTTCTGTCGCAGCAGACATCTGTGACGAGATTGATTTAATGTCCTAAAAGTTCTTAGATTCTTATAGGATATTATGCAAAGAGGTTAATAGTGTTTCGTAAACTTTTTTCAAATATAGACAACTTTTATTAAGTTAGAATATTTTCCGGATCAGCTTATTAATATCCTCTTCGAAAGCAATAATTTAATTAATTAAATATTAAAAATATGGGTTTGCTTGTAGTAACATATGCTAATGTTACTACCAGCATACCCATATTTTTAATATTCGATTAATTAAATTTCTTTAATCTATGCTGGTATTAAATTAACAGAAGATTTGTTTTTAATAGTTCGAAACTATTAGAGTTTGGATAATCTTAAAATACATACGTATTGGTACTCACATGAAGGAGATGAATGAGTCTGTCGTCCTTGCACAGCGGTTCTAGGTTTGGATATATGCTGGTAAGCTTGAATCTATGATCGGCACATCTTTTAATGTGAGTTGGTGATAAGAAACCTTTCTCACACAGATACGTAAATAAACTAAACTACAATTTTTAAAGCAGCTTTGTACAATTCATTATATTCCGCTTTCAATGGTAATGAGCCCAGCGTCGTCAAACACGCAGAAAAACATTGACTAAAAACACAACTATCGTAGTCATAGAGATCGCTCTGTTATTGCTAGAGTGGGAAATCAATATGCAGGGAAAAGGTAATAAGTTTCATAGAATGTCGGCCTTGGGAGAAAAGAAAAGATAAACATAAACAAAAATTTCCAAACTCTGAGATTTTCAGTTATAAGTGTGGTATACGCAGTTAATTTGAATATATTTTTCTATCATTTTTTAGTCCAAAAGGGGCTTTTGTCTCTGAAGGACTATTTTTTTCGTTTTGCGATTTTGCGTTGAATTACTATAAACGGCAAATCACTTTTCAAACAGTTGCCACCAAATGTTAAAGTCCTGCATTATGTTTGAAGAAATTAAATAATGAAAAATCTGCATAAATGTATGCATATTTCTCCCGTCGTGTTAAAACAACGTTACATAGAGCCATCGAATTTTGAATGACGTAATCCTCCTACGAATACGGGCATGTGGAAGACCAAATTTGAAATTTGGAATTTTTTTATTATCGATTTCATATTTTGTAAAATTTTAACGAAATTTTGAGAATAAACTCAACGATTTAAAAGTGAGCAATGGCATCACTCTACGGAGATAAAAAAAAAACCTTTTTATCTCGAGCGCGCGGAACTGCGAATCGGAAATTCTAAAGATAGGCTCATTTTAAAATTATTTTGCGACATTGCTATTGAACTGAATTTTATGGTTTAAGTGCAGAGAACATGATATTTAATAAATAAATATAACACACAAAATGTTAAGAAAAGCCCCTTTGGACGTAATTTAAAATCTGAAAACTTTCAGATTTTTTAAATTTAATTTAATTAAATTTATTTATTTATTTATTTTTGAAATCTAAGACCTCAAATGCTAGCTTTAAGACCCGAAAAACGCTGGTTTGTAACAATATTGTTGCGTTCTACTGGTCCGTGGTTTTGGAGTGATTGGCGATAATACTTGATGAAGAATGAAATCACAATTTATTCGTCAGTATTACTCAGGAGAGTTCCAAAGACACATTTACAGCTTCGAAAAACTACAATAAACACGCTGAAACAATCAGCAACCCAGCCTTCAGGCTATAACGGTGAAGACAGCTTCACGGCAAAACACTAAAGTACAGCTTCCAACAGGGTCAACGCTCTCGAGCTAATCTCTGAACTCAAAGCACTACTATTGAGCTCAACGCACTCAAGCTACTCTTCACGAGAAAGGCAGGGTATTTATAGCTTTTGACCAGCCTTCGAGAACATTCTCGGAAAGACTAAAAATTCCTTCTAGAGCGTTCTCACTCCGTCAATGGCACATCGCCGATTATGTCGCCAAATGGGCAACCCTGCCTTTCCTTGTCATTTTCTGGCAACCCTAAACCTGCTTTTCGGAGAAGCTATCTTACCGCAGCTGGGCATTTCACAACACTAACGCAAAATCTAAAACATTTTCGTAAATATTTTAATAATTAGAAGTCTTTTTCCATTTAAAACTGTTTTAAACAAAAACCTCATTTTACCATTCAGAAAGTTTTGTTTTACTTGTTCCAGTTTAATTGTATGACACGATATACAACTGATACTATATCGAGTGGATACCGGATTCTTTGCTATTAAGCCGAGTATTCGGATATCCAATTCGGATGTAATATTTCTTTTGTGTCACAGTCCATGCAAAATAATAACGAAATAATTGAGTGACACTGTTACAGTACTTTGAATGTATTAGAAGTCATTCTGTGTTTGGAACAGTAAAAGTAAATAGAAGTGTCATATATTCTAGGAAATAAATTTCAGAATATTTTATAAATTTTAATAATATTTTATTAATAATTATATAAGAGTCTATATTAGCCCCCTTGATTTTGATCGTGGAACAAATATGCATATCCAGTAAGACTCATCTGAAACTTTAGTATTTTAATCTCTACATATAATAAAAGAAAAGGTTTGTGTGTCTTTCGTTCGTGCTGCGTGTAAGCTAACAGACCAAGGGCTACAAAATTTGGTATATAGGTGCATCTAGACAAGAGCTAGTGCATCTCGAAGCGATTTTTTCCAAATTTGAATCAGATTTTTTTTTTAATTTTATCTTTTTGATTTTATCGCATCATTTTGAATAGTTTCATTTTTTTAGAAATGTGGTTTTGGCAACAGTTTTTCATTCAGTTGTGTACTGGACTGCTGACTGTTGAAAATCAGCACTGTTGCCACTTGGAAAAATGAGGGAAATAATTCTGTGCAATTTTTAAATTTAATGTTTCTCTTGGATACTGGACGTTTGTTAAGAGAAGGCAATTGGAAGCTGGTTAATTCATTTATTAGGATAATTAATATTTGTATTAAGGGATATTGCTTATTTCATTGTAATTTTGTTATATGTGATACTTTTTATTTATTTATTTTATTTTATTTTTAAATTTATTTATTTTTTTGTTGAAGTTGTTCTGGAGAGTAAAATTCTGCGTAGTTTTTAAATTTAACGTTTGGTGTTTGTTGCCTTCAGGCATTTTCCCGGTACATTTAAAAGCCAGACGAAGGCTGACCGTGTAGTTGCTAGTAAGTAATAATGTTGTTTTGATGCTTTTGCTTTAAGTGTTTGTATTTTAATAGTAAAAAACAAAATAAATTCTTTAAACTTTGTTGAAATTCAAATGCAGCACATTTACATTACATTGGTTACACCTTACACAGAAACACCTTACACAGAAATACGTACACCTTACACATATGCGTACTTATAATATACGTACACCTTACACGAAGGAAAAAAAAAAAAAAAAAAAAAGGTGACAGTTCTTATATCTCCCGTTCTACTAGGCCGATTGACGAAATTTAACTTGCATTTTTCGTGTCTCGAAAACGCGATTTAAGATATATGTTAGATTTATATGTAGGTTTTTTTTTAACATAAGCTTATTGATACAAAATCGAACTTTTATTGAAATGACATACCTATTTTTTTCCCATTTTTGGATTTTACGAGTCTAATTATGCCAGGTTTTGCAAATATCCTACTAATAGTTTTTAAGAAATTACCACTTTTCACGCATAGCAACACAAGCCTAGCGTTGATAATTGCAACATCGCCGCCCAGACGATATACTCTTTAGAGGAACCTACTGAGAAAACAAAGAGCGAGGCATGGATGGAGGCCTATAGGAGGTAACGGTCAGTGCTTAAATTGCGCCGGAGCCCGGCTCCAGTACTTCTCAATTTTTAAGATAAATTACAACTTTAGCCGGAGCGCACCGGAGCCCTAAATAAGATGAGCTCCGGTACTTCTTTTTATAAAACTGAGCCACAATTTCAAGAAAAAAAATTTAGAATTTTAGTTTAACAATAAGCAACCTTGCAATACTCTATTTCCCTAAAAATACGAACTAATGAGAACGTGTAAGTAAAGTCCCCTCACTCACATGCGAAAATCTTTCCCTTGATAAATTTTTAACTGGCAGTTAGTTATAAGTAATACAGTAATTCTCTAGCTATCATCATATTTAAAAAAAATTCAATATTTTCACTTAAATCTGTATATTTTTCAAACTTCTCAAAATTATGTACTTGAGTTAATGTGAGAAAAAAAACCTGTTGAATTTTGGTCCCAATTTTCTAATAAAACATAATTTTAATAAGTAGTTCAAAACTCCTTGTGTGATAAAAAGGTGCATTGTTGATGAAAGTGCAGGATTTAATTGACTGCAGGTACATCACAGTGTTGCAAGAGACAGAAGGATTGCATCTAGTTAATGAACTTAAAAATCAACATGCTAAATTCTTTAACAGAAGATGAAAGTTTCTCTTGCAGCCCAGCTTTTTAGCCAATCTGTTGCTGATGTCATTAAGTTTTGTACTGAGTTTGACCAAGGTAAGAAGGGCAATAAATTTGGTGGAGTTTGTTTAGAAACGCGTACATTTCTCGCCATGCCATCGTATCTAGTGTATTGTTATCGATGCTTAAAGTTAATTATCCTCGCAGGAAGGAAAATTTGTGTTCTTAAATGTGCGTTAAGTGACAGCGAGTGCAATATAAGAGTGAAATACTGAGATAAACTGTTCAAGCACGTCCTATACATCGTCTTCCCACAGTATCCACTAATGGGGGGGTGAAAGCGTAACCAACAACTTTTCCTTTCATCCTTAGGAGTCAGATTCAGGACTCATTTTACCCCTGACACACATCTGCTTGATGGCTATAATCATATCAGCAGACAGCCGCGTTCAAAGAGAACGTTATTTCTCACCAAGATTTCCCTCATTTTTTATTTCCACCCACTCATATCCTCACGCCCTCATTCTGTTTCGCCCTTTTTGCATTATCTGAATTTTCAGCTATTATTTCATTAGCTATTATTTCATAGCTATTATTTAAGCTATATTATCACGTAAATTTAATTTTTGTGATGATAAAAGAACTTTTCTCCTTCCCTCCATACGATCAGAGCTGAAATTGGGCCGGAGTCCACCGGATCCCGGATCCGGTGCTTCTTAGTTTTTGTAATAAATCATAATTCTAGCCGGAGTGCACCGGAGCCCTAAACTAAGAAGGCTGCGGCACTTCTTTATGTAATTGAATAATAATTTGAGTAGAAATTTTATCTCGAAAATTTTATTTTTAGAAATAAAATTATATTAAAAATTGATTTTAATATTTCACTTTATCTCTTTACATTTTATTAAATTTTAATTATTTAATTACTTCATTCTTTAATTATTTCAATAAATAATAATTATCAGTTAAATTATAATTAATTAATTATCTAATAATTATCCATTAAATTACATAATAATTATTGATTAAATAACAATTCATAAACATTAATTAAATAGCTATTAATTAACTTTATAATAATTAACTATTCAATTTTAAAATTATTAATGAATTTAATGGTCATTTTATTTATCTCTTTACTCTTGTTCCTCTTTGCTGACGGTCTTCCATAGGGCTCCGGTACTTCTAATCTTAGA